TCTCTTCTGCTTCCTTTCTCAACCTCTCCTCTGCCTCCTTTCTCAACCTTTCCTCTGCCTCCTTCCTCAGCTTCTCCTCTATGCTCTTTTTCAGCTTCTCCTCTGCATCCTTTCTCAGCTGCTCCTCTGCTTCCTTCCTCAACTTCTCCTCCATCTCCCTTCTTAGTCTGGCTTCCATTTCTGACTTCTCTTCTTTTCCTTTCAGTGCCTTCTCCTCTTCCTCCTTTCTCAGCTTCTCCTGCACCTCCTGCAGAATCCTGGCCTTCATGTCTTCTTCTGACTCTCCTTTAGAACCTGCAAATAAAGACAATAACATTTCTTCTGGCTGGTTTGGAGGGTAAGCCATGGCTACACACACAAAGGTAAGGTGTGGCTTTACTGCTTGCCACCTGGCCTGCTGAAGCTTCTGAAGATTGAAAGGCTTGATCTCTCAGCGATGCAAATGAAATGCACTTCTGAGCTTTTTTCTGTGGCTCAAAATCCTCTGAGACCTGAAGGGTGGTCAACAGCTTGGACCATGATTCCTCAGGCAGCTTCTTGGCACATTCTACCTTGGGCAGGTGAACTTTGAGGCATACCAACTGTTTAAAGGGGTAGGCTTCACAGGTTACAACACCAAGGTACCAAATGGGCCACCCACTTGCTGTACACCTCATCCTGCTGGTAGATATCCTTGCACTCCCAGATCTGGTGAGAAGGTGGTGGCCCTTTCAGGACATGCCTGACATGGCAGTGTGGGCCATCACTGGGCAGGCAGTCATGGATTGAAACATTAGTGCAAGAACCAACTAACTAGCCTTCCATTGTCATATGTTTTGATGGCTGGAATTCCTTTGGGAATCACCATCCTGGGTTTGCCACCTGAGCTCTCAGTTACAAGTCCTACCCACAGCCCCCATCACCACAGCAAGCACTAACAGCTTAGGCCTAGGTTCCATCTTTTGAAAAAAAGCCAGGTCTCACCATTTTTGCTGATCTCCACATAGAACTGCGGTCTGGCATCCCCTCCCTTGTTGGCCTTGGCATGTCCATCCCATACCAAAACAAAACAAGGGGCAGGAGGTGTGACTACATTCAACAGTGAGGCCATGAAGGTGACACAAAGGGCAGGAGGTGTGACTACATCCAACAGTGAGGCCATGAAGGTGACAAAAAAACAGGAGGTGTGACTACATTCAACAGGCAGGCCATGAAGGTGACACAAAGGGCAGGAGGTGTGACTACATTCAACAGTGAGGCCATGAAGGTGAAAACTTCTCACCAAGGCAAGGGGCATTCTCCTGGTGAGGGTATTTGTTGTTGAAAGCATCCTGCCACCCATATTTGTCTGCAATCTCTGCCTTGGTTTGGTTGCACCTACCACCACCTAGCCAAAACAGTTTTCAACAGTGGCATACAATTCTTGCACTCCATAACTGCTACCCAGGTGGCCAAATTGCTGTAGTCTTTGTTAACTTCACTGAACCTTTTGTGACCACCATTTCTTTGCTCAAACCTGTCCTTTGCTTCACAAAACTTCTTTTGCCTGGGGTTGTCAAACAGCGCGTGAAGTTTGACAACTGCTTTCATTCAAAAACCAAACTGTGTGAACAGGTTTTCTATATGCAGGAAGGCTGCAGCTCTCCCCTGTTCTTAGCCCTCATGTCCCTGACTCTCATAAAGGGAGGGAGACCTGTGAGAAGAAACACAGCCTGGCCCAGCCCTATGTCATCCAGCATCTGCCTTTGACCTGAAGAAGCACATTGCACCCATAGCAATACATGTTGGGTTGGTGGGCATGGGGTGTGAATTCAAAGGACAGCAAACTGAGGTGCAACTTTGCCATAAGCACCCCCACCATCTGGAAATGAGTCCTCATCCATCTTCTTCAGGAAGCGCAACAGGTCTCGCCTACCAAAGAGCAGGCTTGGCCAACTCCAAAGAGCACAATTGAACACATCACCACAAGAAAATGCCTGGGAAAAATGTTTGAAGCACCAGATTTCCCAGCTGTTTTGGCAAGCTGGCACTTAGGAACCTCCCTCCTGTCAAGGACTGCGCCTAAGAAGCCACTCACAATCACATGGCCCACCAAAAGGCAAAAAAAAACAAAAATAAAACACACACACACCAACACTAAGATCTTTCATGCTGGCCCCCTACACCCTGTGCAAACCAGGGCTCTTTCAGCATCACTGGACTCATCCTTCTTCTTGCCTCAGGAGGTAGAGGGTTGGGAAACTATTGGTAGGGAGTGCGCACAGTGGTTTGACTAAAGCCTTGCAACTAGAACCTGCTTGAAATGAAAGGGTAGAAGTTTGACAAAGACAGGTGACCTTTGCCTTTCTTGTCAGTCTTTTTCTTTTTCTTGCCTTTCTTGTCTTTCTTGTTTTTCTTGGCCTTTCTGCCACTGCCAGAGCTGGACCTGAAAGAAGCAATGGCATTACATTACCTTACAAAAGGCACAAAACACCAACACTTGGCCCACCATACTTGATCAATGTTAGTTTCCTCCAACCCTCAACCAAAGCCAAGAGTCTCTGAATATTCATAGCCTAAGTTTCCATGGGCTTAATACTGCTTCAAGTGGGTGTAAAACAGTTGAGCCCCAAACAAAGCACATAAACAAACACATTACAGCAACAGTAGCTGTACTCATCACCTTCTGCTTCATCATAAGTACTTCCAACTCCACTCCCACCAGCACTGAGGGATGCCAAGCTGGTTGGCCTCCCCCCCCCTGGTGGCCAGCATCCTGGATAGCCTGGTGGTGGGGCAGCTCCATTGCCCATAGGAGGCATCCTGGGCTATGTGGAATTTGTGAACTAGATAATTGTTGTGGTTTGTTTGCTTCTTTTGCTGGCACACTGGCCCAAATAAAGCCAATGCCACCTGTCAACACATTAATACAACAGGTGCACCTTTGTGACTGACCAGGCTCTGATTAAAAAAACTGTTGAAGCCAGTGCGCAATGCTGTGCCTGGCCAAAGGAAAGACAGCCAAGTGACCCTGCATTCCAGTGAGGTGAGTGTCCAGAGAGCATATGCCTGGTCCACACACATGGTTCAAATCTCAAGCTACACCATGTAGCAAACCCAAGGCCCCTGCAACATTCAACACCACAATATATATATATATATATTATATATATACCATATATATAGGTGTAATATATATATATATAAATCTGACCACTCACATAGCCCCAATTCATGGCGCAACTTCTGTTGAATGCACAACATGGGCCAATGGGTAAGTGCCACCTACCCTAAACAATAAATTCTGGAATTGAAGTTTGTCTCACCCTTCTATAAACCAACTGCCTGTTTGCCATGCCAAGTTGCTCTGGGAGAGTGGAAGGCCTCTTCCTTTTTCTGTGCTGTGGCATGGCTTGACAGCTCAGGTCAGGTCACCACAGGAAACCCACTGAGCACCAAAAGGGCTGCACCATGTGGTTTTCTGAACACCCTGGTTCACCAATGGACTCACCAATCACCTGTTGGCCCTCCACTCTGGAAGCAACAACACACTCTCAAACAATGCCATTCATGCTAATCATCTTGAACTCTTCTTGAGATTTGACTGGAAGGATTTGGAATTAAATAGTATTTTTGGAATGATGGTGGAGTCTGGAAAAACCACCTAAAAAGCGACCCTGCTATAAAGCGACCCTAGCATCACAGAAGAGTTGTCTCAGTTATAACCATGGTTATAACTTGGTTATAAACAGCCTGATCGAGACAAAACTTTAGCAACCAGCGCGAGCATCCAAGTAAGGTTCCCCCTGGGCATCCTCCATTGCCACTCTCTACCACCCGCCTGTTGGGAACGAGGAGCTAAGGCTCTCATTCCTACTGGCTCACTATATTGCGAATGGCGAAAAGAGGTCGACGGTCCTACTACTTAGTGTTTGCGCATTTCCCTTACCGTTGCTTGCTGTCGGTGTGCTTATCCACCATTCCCGCTGCGTTAGCATTGCTGGTCTTTGCAGGTCTGGAAAGTCTGCTCTCCATTGATCACTGGCTTTTGCCGACCACTCTCGGCGCTGCTTGGACTAGACGAGTTACCCACCTTTGTCAGGGACATGTGTCCTTCGCCATGCGTTGCCTTTTCTTTGCTTTTACTTTGCTCGAAAGTGCGAACCGCCTGCAAAAGCGCATAGCGCCATGTACAGCAGGAGTAGAAACCTCCTGTAGAGAGGTACGCTGACGGAAGGCTTCTTTGCCGTGATCCTCAGCTCTACTCATGGTATTTGGCCTGCTGTGGCTTCTGGCCTACTCTGGACTCGAGCTAAGGCGCGCGCCCAGACTCTTGATGAGTGTCAGTGAGACTGCGATAGCTGTGATCCGAGTGGCTTGTCTTCATCCAAGACCAGGGGTGTATCCCATGTCCGGGATCATATGCAGCCAGGGTGGCCATCTCATATCGGGACAAATGGCGAAAGCATTTTCTTCAGCATAGACTCCTCGCCATTTGTGCTTGCCTGGCATTTTGGCGAGCCTCTTAAAGGCAGTGCAATCCAAGAAAGCCCTACTTCCAATGTATCTTAATGAAGGCGGGATTGCAAGCTCAACTAGGGCTGCACAGTTCATAAAGGCTTTGACTCGGATTGTATGGAGAGTAGTCGGAAGGAGAACTTCTCTGAGGCTAGTGCCGTGCACAAAGGTGAATTCCGGAATTTCTTCTACATTGGTGTTGCAAAGGTCTACACTCTTAAGCAGTCGACAACTGTCACACGCACGCGCTCCAATAGCCGTAAAATGCTTCGTGAGAGCGAGTGCGGTGATTCCCGTAGAGCTAAGACAGCCCGGTGCCAGCTCACTGGTCCTAGCTTGCAGTGTTGACCCTCGGGGGGATGGAAGCTCACTCAAGGTAACCTCAGCAAGGTTAATACACCCTTGAAAGAGGTATTGCCCGAACTTGGCTTCGTTGCTGAACTTATTTGCAACCCCTTCCGATGCATACACCCATGGTAAGGAACAGCATTCCGCAAAGGCCTTGTATCCAAAATCCCGGCAACCAGGCGCCGAGACACTGTTTAGTAGCTTGCAGTCACGAAAGGCGTTATCGGAACTGTCGCCGGCAGTTTGACAATGCGGAGCTGTCGACAATTTTGCCAAGCCTCTGCTCCAATGAGCCTGATACCTGACTCAACACTGACATGTCGCAGACGCGGAACCCCTGCAAAAGCCCCTTCTGGGACGATTTTCTCTGGGTTCATAGGGACATGAACGGCAAGCGGAACCTGATGGATAGGGCAACCTTCGAGTTGTTCCTGTGATGGCAGGATGACACTGCTATCCTTGAAGACAACGGTGTATGCCACGCCTTGCTGTAGCCTGTCCCAGATTGGGTCCTCAAGGTATGACTGTGTGGCAGTTTGTAGAAAGTCGATGGAGCATCCAAACACTTTGAGGTCAGTAACTGAGGCCAGATAGTCCATAACCTGGTCTTCTAGGTCCTCAAATCGGTCAAACTTTGCCACACTGAGAGAGACCTTGATAGTCACCCCCGAGAGCGTGGTCAGTACCAAGGAGCAGTCCATGACCGGCTCCATTTCAGGGCAAGTGCTAAGCCTGGATGAGTCGTCGAGCTCCATGTATGGCAGACTACTTTCATTTACTGTTTGAGCCAAAAGCTTATGACTCTGCGCATGGACTGTTCCTAGGGCCAGGGATGTTTCCGGAAGACAGATGCTAAGGCACCCACCTTGAACCTCACATGAACTGGCCTAATGTTAGGAGAACTCTTGGTATAGCTCTTCGTCAAAGGCATCCGAATCGGGCCCATCCGCAGGGAGCAGCTCCACCCACAGGGGTTTTTCAAATTTGTCACACATGAAGAAAGCGTTGTGCTCTGCCTGCACCCACTGTTCAATATCTCCCCAATCCAGGGGAGTGAATCGCTGCAGTTGCTCACACCCGCAGAAAGCACGGTTGCCTATGTCACTGAGCTCTGTCGGGATGACTACTTCTTGGAGCGCAACACAATTAAGGAAAACTTCTTTGCCAATTTGCGTGAGTCGTGGTGGTAGCCATATGCAATTTAAGGCTACACAGTGGGCAAAGGTGGAATAGAGTAGGGCTGTGATTTCTGTGCCCATGAGGTTGACCTCCACAAGTCTTTTGCAGTTTTCACAGGCCCGCGGCCCAATGTTGCGAAAGTCACTTGGCAAGCAGAGCTGTTCAATGCCTGCTCCACAAAATGCACCTTCAGGCAGCGCTCGAGGTTTGTTGGTGTGGTCCATGTCAAAGGTGATGGTTGCTAGCGTGAGGCAGCTCTCAAATGCATATTTGCCTAGTTGTGCTCCTGGTGCTAGGACGTTGCTGTCCTCAGTTTCGTGACTGACACCAACCCGACCTAGGGAGCAGCACTCCGCAAACACTCTTCGGCTGTACTGGACACACCGGGGCGGCCACCTCTCTCAGTACATAGCACCCCTGGAAGGTCCCTTCTGCAAGACTCATGACCGAGGGTGGGAGCCTGACAATTTGTAGTTGCTGGCAGCTCTGCCAGGCCGCAATTCCTACATGTTGGATGCCCATTGCCACTTCTACATGCCGGAGCAAGGGTGCAGCATAGAAGGCTCTGTCAGCAATTTCTCCACGTGGGTTGGTCGGGACACGTACAGCTTTGGGATAGCTTTCCCTTCCGTCTTCCTGGAACTGCCAGATGGAGTGTCCATCTACCATGCAGGGACGAACTACAATTTGTAGTTGCGGCCGTTGCAGGAGCGCCGTGCGGAATGCTTCTGGCAGGGGTTGCTGCGTGTGAAGGTCGAGCAAATCCAACTCACAGCCGAAGACATCCAAATCAGAGACTGTCGGCATTGTATATTCCGTGCCTGCTATCGTAACGGATTAGGGCGGCTAAGGCTACCCATCTCATGGAGGAGGTCGAGTTACTAGGAAACGGTCACTGTGTGGGGAGACTCTTGCTGGAGACCGCCCTACTGCCACCACTCATAGGGCGGAGGGAAGACCCTGCTGCAGACGAGGAGCTTTCCGGTTCTGGAGGAGGGACAGTACGGCGAGCTTTATTACTTGGGTCAGAGGCTTCCTGACTGTAGCCCATGTGGTCCCTAAGCGCCTGCTTGTGGCCTGCGAGCTGACTTCTAAACTTGGAATTCCCAGTGAGCCATGCACAGAGCTGGTCCCATCGGCCTTCCGAGTAGAGGAGTGGGCCATATTGGTTATATGGGCGATCTTCCATTTTAGGAGTGAAAGGATATCCATGGCAGTAGTAGTTACTGAGGATAGCACTAGGAACTTTGGTCAGATTGTAGCGGGGAGACAGCAGATTCCACCCTGTGCGGGACATGGCAACTCGTAGCCCGGAGGTCAGCCACTGAGCTACTACTGTACTTTCTGCTTGGATGTTCCCTTGCTCAAAATTGCCAAGCGCCGTTGCTAGCCTAGTATAACCTATGCCGAAACGTCCGTATCCCTTGGCAAAAGCATAGTTGGGTTCTGCTGCCGTGTCCTCCTCCTCAGAAGCTTCCTCAGTGTCAGCTTCTGGTGGTTCAGCAAGTCCCACTGGCACCGGGAGCGCAAGTCTGGGCGATCGCTCAGCTGACCCGGTAGCATCAGAGGCAGAGTCTTCTTCTGCAGGCAAATCTGCAGCAGGGTGTCTGGCAGTCGCCAGGTCTCTCCACAAGGGGACTTCGATGCGCAGCCTCAGCTGCAGAAGGGAAGGGAACGAGAAAGCTTGTCCCAAAGACGGGTCAAGGGCACCACTAGAGTAAGCTCTTTCAGCCCAGGAAGTATTCGGGGGTATCGGTCGTAAGCAATTTCTTTTGTGTGCACTCCCACCACGAGCAGAGGGTTGTCTTCAGCTCCTTCTTCTTTGGGTCGGTAGCCGTAGCCCCCTTTCACTTCCGCGGGCGTGAAGCCCTGCTGCTCCATGGCTACAACCAGGTCGGGCAGGATCTGTACTGGGAAATAAACAAAGAGGTCATTGGTGGGTAGCGTCTGCTCGCCATGCTCCATTCCCCTAACAAAGGACATAATGACAGTTTGCATAAAGGTGAGGGCATCGACATCTTTTTCCTTTGTTTTCTGTGGTTTCCCTTCCACTGCTTGGGCTGTTCCTGTACCCTGGTGTCTGCGTTGATTATCAAAGGAACAGCACCTTGCGATGAAGGCAAGCAAGCCATACTGCCAGAAGCGGGGGCTTGCATAAAGGGCGAGCTGTTTGTGAGTGATGAAAGGGCATGCTGGGTGCCCACTCTTCACGAAAGTGAAGAGGTTGGACAGGGGAGCAGCAAAGGCTTCACTTATACGGAGAAGGTCTCCTATGTAGGCTTGGTTGATTTCATCTGGAACGTCCACAAAGGAGGAGCCATGGAGTGCTTGCTCTGTTACTCGCCTCCAGAGGAATGTACGGACGAGGCGGTTGATTTGCTTGTTGGAAATTGCAAGCCTCGCCATCGGCCATTCTCTAGG